CAGTTTGAGCATGGAGAATCTTGAGTCATGTTGTCAAAGTTAACAGTACTAACAAACTATGCAAGGGTATTAAGCAGGAGTGAAATGATTATATTTGTGTTTTTAAAAGATCCCCATAATTCCAGTGTAGAAAACAAATCAGAGGGGGTAAGAGTAAATGGAAATGAGAGTCAATCAGAGAGTAAGGCCATGGAGTAGTAGTAGCTCCTCCAGGAGATACAGTTGAATGGGTTAGTCTTAGAAAAATGGGCAAATAAGAGAAATATATAGAAGGTAAAAACAAGGGGATGTGGTGATGGATTGACTAATGGGGGTTGAGGGAGAAGGTAGTACAAAGGGTGATTCCTGGGTTTCTGGGACTTGCAGAGATCGGTAAATTTTAGTGCTGTTTACTCAGACAGGGAATGCTGTAAGTGGATCTTGGGAGGATGTTAGAGAGGTTCATGAGTTTGGTTTGACACATTGTTTGAGGAGCTTTGGGGACATCCACATTAAATGGATAGATTGACTTGACTGGAGAATATAAGGGTCTAGAGCTTAGAGTCAGGGCTAGAGAAAGAAATATCAAGTGATTTGCATATAGAGTATCTAGGAGAAAGAGAATGTGTGTAAATAAGAAGGCCCATAATTAAGTTTTGAGGAACTTCAACATCTAATCACTAGGTAAAGGGGAGTGAACCTGTAAAGAAGATTGAAAAGAAGCAGCCAAAGAGATGACATTAAAATCAGGAAAGCTAAGAGGAGTGAGATTCAAGGAAAGAATGATTAATAGTATTGGATGCTGCAGAAAAATTACAAGAAAAATAAATACAAGGATTTGGGTTATTAGCAATATGGAAATTTTTATAGATCTTAGCAGGAGCAGTTTCTATGGGATGATGGAGCAGAAGCCAAATTGGAGTGAGTTAAGCAGTAAATGGAAGGCAAGAAGATGGAAATGGCTGTATAAACTCTTTCAAAAAGAGGCCAGATAGGCTATAGCTGGAGAAGACATGGGATAAAGAAAATTACATTTAGGATGGGAAGAAGATTAGTATTTTTAAAACATGTGGATAGAAGAGAAATAATAAGTAGAGTAAAAGTCCCCAGAAGGTATATGTGTATTAGAGGAAGACAAGATCTAGGAAGTATTGGCAGTGTATGGCTTTAACTAGCAGGTTTATACCTCATTTATTCTAACAGGTGTAGAGGAGGAGAAAATGAGTGCAGATGTATATAGGTTTGCCAGCAGGATATTGAGGGAACTCTACTTAGAGAAACTTTTTCTTTTTCTTTTCTTTAAAAGAAAGAGATGAAGTCATCAGCTAAAAGTGAGGAGAAATGTGGCTGAGGTTTGAGGAAATTTGAAAGGTTTAGCATAGTTGTGGGACTTGGGAAACCTAGTTGAACAGAGAAATGTCGTAAAAGTGATGGAAGTGATGGAAGGCTATTTAAAATAGGTGATTATGAATTTATAATACAACACAAATACTGTCAAATGACTTTCTCAAGCAGCACTGGCTACTTGAGTACAAAAGTGAGAGTTCCTTCAGGGACTTAGTGTAGACTGGTGGGGAAGGGAGTAAGAAGTGGTATGCTGGTAAATGTTTAACAACCAGTTCACAGGAAAGATTGGGGGGGAGGTCTAGTTGGTTCATGGCCAGTCCCACGGTATCAATCTGACATAACCAAATGCAGAATTCGCAAGAGATGAGCAGCAGCAAAATCTTCCCACCACTCATATATGATAGATGCTCGTAACCTCAAAAGCATAGATAGTACTAACATATAAAATAAAAATTTAAATGTAAAACAATTAGAGAGTGGTATGTTTTGAGTATGTATTATCTATATTTTTAATATGATTTATGAGTAAGTTTATTTATAATTTAAATTTTAATGATGGCTGTTTAACAATTAGCTCAAAATAATCTTTAAAATAAGCTGTCAGTGATACTACTGACTTCTGGCCAAGATGGAGGCACAAGTAGACATGCATCTCCTCCTAGCACAACAATAAGAAGGATAACAACCAATCTAAAAACAAATAAAAAAACTAGAACTGCCAGAAAATTGAACTGTATGGAAGTCTGACAACCAAGGAGTTAAAGAAGAAACATTCATCCAGATGGGTAGGAGTGGAGACAGGCAGGCAGGGTGGAGAGGACATGTGGTGATGCAGCAGCTGTGGCAGCTGGTGGAACGTGGGTTCCACATTCATGTGCAGCAGAAAAAAACTGGGAGGAACAACTAGTCAGCAAGTAATCCCAGTCCCAGGCCTCACCATGCAGCCCACAGTTATAGCACTGGGAAATAAAGCCTCATAACCTCTGGCTATACAAACCATTGGGGGTCAAGGTGAGGGAAGAAACCACCAGTCTCTCAGGAGAGTCTATTTGAAGTGCCAACAGGGTCCTAGAATGTACACAAGCTCACCCACTCAGGGAATTAGCATGAGGGCAGTACCTAGAAGGTTGCCAGTCACATCTGGAAAGTAGGGGAAGTGACTGAAAATGAGGCAAGAGCCAAACAACCAGCATTGTTCCCTCTCTGATGCCTCTCCCACATGCAACGCCACAAAACTGCAAAGCGGGTTGCTTTGTCCCTTACAGTGTAACAGGTACACTGATGCAGGAAGTCAGAGTAGCTCTACCTAATACACAGAAACACAGAGAGGCTTCTAAATAGAGTAGACAAAGAAATATGGCCCAAATGAAAGAACAGATCAAAACTCCCAAAAAAGAACTAATGACCTAGAGATAGCCAACCTATCAGATGCAGAGTTCAAAACACTGGTGATCAGGTTGCTCAGAGAAATGATTGAGTACAGCCACAAAATGAAGAAATGAAGGCTATACAAAGTGAAATAAAGAAAAATATACAGGGAACCAATGGTGAAGGGAACAAAGCCGGGCTTCAAATCAATGATTTGAAGGAGGAAAGGAAAAAATAAACATTTAAGTGGAACAGAAAAAAGAAAGAAAATTTCAAAAAATGTGAGGAGAGGCTTAGGAACCTATAGGACAACTTTAAATGTACCAACATCCAAATCATAGGGGTACCAGAAGGAAAAGAAGAAGAGCAAGAAATTGAATAATTACTTGAAAAAATAATGAAAGAAAACTCTAATTTGGCAAAAGAAATAGACTTACAAGTTCAGGAAGCTCAGAGAGTCCCAAACAAGTTGGACCCGAAGAGGGCCACAGCAAGACATCATAATTAAAATGCTAAAGGTTAAAGATAAGGAGAGAATCTTAAAAGCAGCAAGGGAAAATCAGAGAGTTACCTACAAAGGAGTTCCCATAACACTGTCAGCTGATTTCTCAAAAGAAACCTTGCTGGCAAGAAGGGGCTAGAAAAAAGTATTCCAAGTCATGAAAAGCAAGGACCTACAATCTAGATTACTCTACCCAGCAAAGCTATAATTTAGAATGGAAGGGCAGATAAAGTGCTTCCTAGATAAGGTCAAGTTCAAGGAGTTCATCATCACCAAGTCCTTATTATATGGTATATTAAAGAGACTTATCTAAGAAAAAGAAGATCAAAACTATGAACAGTTAAATGACAACAAATTCAGAACTATCAACAGCTGAACCTACAAAAACAAAAACACAAAAGGAGCAAACAGCTAGAACAGGAACAGGATCATAGAAATGGAGATTCCATGGAGGATTATCAGTGGAGAGGATGAAGGGGAAGAATGGGGGAAAAGGTACAGGGAATAAGAAGCATAATTGGTACATACAAAATAGACAGGGAGAGGTTAGGAATAGTGTAGGAAATGGAAAGCTAAGGAACTTATGTGTATGACCCGTGGACATGAACTAAGAGGGGGGGGGATTGCGGTAGGGAAGGAGGGTGCAGGGCAGAGGGGGGCAAGGGGAAAAATAGACAACAGCATAATCAATAAAATATAATTAATTTTTTTAAAAAGAAAGTGATACTGCTGAGGAATTAAACTTTTTATGGATGATAATTTTAAAAAAATAAGCCGTCAGCATCAACCACTCCAACCCTTGCTGTAAATTCTCAAGTACAGTGTAGTGCGATAAATGATATTATGGAGCTGTGCACAGATGCTGTCAGACAAAGCAGGGGGCATCTAATGTAGACACAGAGGTCCAAAAAGGTCTCCTGGATTTGATGATGCTGGAGCTGAGACTTGTAGAATGGGTGATGGAAAGAATGATTAGCATATGTGAAAGGCATGGAAATTTAATATTGTTGTACCTGCAGAAATAAATGTTATTTATTTGTTAGATATTTGAGCAGGAGAGAAATGTTATCTACCTTCTTTAGGATATTTTACATAGAGATGGAAGTACAAAAGGGTCAGAACATTTCCAACTGAAAATGTTTTGATTGTAAAAGAATTATCAGGAGTTATTGAAGCTGGCCTAAGAAAACAATGGATACAAAAGAAGTATGTTTCAATAACAAACAACAGTAGCATTCAACAAAATGTAATAATTTTCAGAATTCAGATAAATATTTGTGTACAGCATGATAGGAAGTATTTGTAACACAGTGCCAAAAAATGGTATATGACATAATCAGAGAAAACAAATTTTTAAAAATTAATTTTGTAGACAGGGGAGAGAAGGGTGAAACAGGGAGAAAAGCATCAATGTGTGAGAAAAACATTGTTTGGTTGCCTCTCACTAGTGCCCCAAATGGGGACCATTCACTGTGTGAGATGACACTTAACCAACAGCCACGTGAGTCAGGGCAGTGAAAGCAAATTTTGAGAGACTCCATTATTAACTAGACTAGCTTCATTTCATTAGGGGAAGAAAATTAGCATCTCCTAAACATTTGTAACTAAGTGAATTTGTATGTATATTCACATCATCAGACAAAGTCTGAAAGTTTTTATATTATGTGGTTGGTGACTGTGTCACCTTTTGCCACTTGTGTGCTTACAGCACTTATCATGGAAAGGTGGTGACTTTTCTTTTAATTTTGTTTTAGATTTATATTCCAATTTGTTTTGTTTTGCCGTCTGTGCTTTTTGTTCCTAGCTACAAGACATTCTTACCAAAATGTGTGCGAGCAAAGATCCAAGACTATCATATTTTGACAAGAAAGCGAATAAGGTACAGATTTCGCAGATTCATTGAGCAATTCAGCCATTGCAAAGCCACTGCCAGAAACTTGAAACTTAAGTATCTTATAAATCTGGAAACTCTTCAGTCTGCATTCTACACAGAACAATTTGAAGTAAAAGAACCTGGAAGAGGTCCTTCAGGTGAGGAGATTTTTGCAACCATTATAATAACTGGAAACGGTGGAATTCAGTGGTCAAGAGGGAAACATAAAGAAAGTGAGACACTGACAGAACAGGTAATCCTTAATGATACGTTCTCATTCTTTGTTAATTTAAGTAGAACGGTGAAAGAAGCAAAGTAATTTTAGTCATTTGAAACATGCACATGTATTTTTGTCCTCCCATTTATAGAAGTATACATTTTTAATGGTGTGAAGCCTCAAGATCATGTTTATAGTTCTTTTCTGATTATTCTTAAATTTTTTAAAATTTAAATCTTATGACAAAATAATAAGTCATAGTATTCATATAGTTTAAGAAAAGTGATGTTTAAAGTTAGTTTTGCCTCCTTGTTTTCTTTTACTATTATTGATTTAGGAGTCACAATGATAAAATTTAATATCCTAAACAATATTGATTTTAATTGATTTTTATGATAATGTATACCTGTTAAATAATTTAGTTTGTTTTAGCATTGCATTATAAGTTTTAAGTTGTTTCATATCTGTGTTGTTCTTAGATAATTAGAGATTTAAAAGTTTTTTAGTCTTCACTCTGTGGTAAACTTTCAATTTTCTGTCCATAGTTGCTTTAACGTTGATTGGCTTGAAGGATGCTAACTAGAGCAGGTCTCAGATTCCTGGCACCATTTAATGCTCATTTTTAAATCAAAGCAAGATACAGTGTAGTCTAGGGTTCCATTATTGGAGAAGAGAATCCCATTTAATATTTATCTTTTGCTAGCAATACTTTCTTACTTTAAAGAATTTGTTATGAATGTTAATCTCCTTCATAAGTCTTGTTTTAAAATGCCTCCATAGATTCTACCTGTTAATTTCAAATACTCTTAACCATAGGATTTACAGTTATATTGTGATTTTCCTGATATTATTGATGTCAGTATTAAGCAGGCAAACCAAGAAGTCTCAAATGAAAGCAGAATTGTAACTATTCATAAACAAGATGGTAAAAATCTGGTAAGTTTGCTTTATAACTAAATAATGGTTATGTTATACAATTTTTAAAAGTATTCTTAATAACCAAGTTATTATCTTACAGAAATTTTTCTTATTGTTTTAAACATAGCTCTAAACATAAATATCAGTTTAGTCAGCTTTTTATTATGTCTACTAGATTTTTATATCACTACTAAAACTATCTTCCCACAGAGTTTCTTATACATTAATGTATTTTTCACTTATTTTTATGATTGGCAATGCACCAGTTTCTTTTTCTTCCCACTCTGGGTTGTGCTAATCCCTGTTACAGCTCTTATTCCTGATGAGAATCTTTTTTACCAATAGAGATGTGCATAATACCAGTCACACTACCTAATTAAAGGAGAGAAAGAAATCAAAACAATACCACTGGGAATTTATGTAACAAATGTAAACCAATCCCTGATCTGACCTACCCAACTGTAAGACATGATCAAATCTGAAATATTTAACCCTTTTGCCATGGCCTGGTTGGCTTAGTTGGTTAAAGCATCATAGTGATACTCCAAGGTTGCAGGTTTGATCCTGGTCAGGGCATATACAAGAAACATGCATGCATAAATTAAGTGGAACAACAAATCAATGTCTCTTTCTTTCTCTCTCTCTGAAATCAATTTTAAAAAAGATTTAACCCTTTTTCTTTAAATAGCTTCAGAAATCCCACTTATTTTAATTGAAAGGAAAGATATGAATTCCTTTATATTCTGCTCTAAAGTTTCTTATTTATCTGGCTTTGTTTTCTTTTTAACTCAGATATTTCTTAACTTCCTGACTTAAATGCCATATTAATGTTATTTGGTCATTTAACTGAAGTATCTATATGTACCTTTCTGGCCATTTCAAGTTTATATTACCAAAATTACAACTAACTTGCAACTTATTTTAGTAAGCATGCTTTCCTGTTCTTAGATAAAAATATGATTAATACTGTGCAGCTACTCCCTATTAGACTATGAGCCTCTTGAAGGTAAGGATCATTGTGTGTAAGAGAGAGTGTGTGTGTGTGTGTGTGTGTGTGTGTGTGTTACTCCTTGCACCTTGCCCAATGCTTTAGGGCCTAGTTTAGAAAGACCTTGGTAAGTGTTTCATGGAAATTATCTTCTTGTCTCTCCAAGTTGGATCCCTGGTTTTCTGAATCTAATATTTGCCTTGTTTTTATGGGTACATTCTCCAGTACCTGTTGATATTTTTATATTAGGGATTGTGACAAACTAGAAAATTAATTTAGGGAGGATTTTTACATTTTTATGATGTTGAGTTTTCCCCAGTCAAGAACATGGTAAATCTTCTGTACAGTTCAAGTAAAAAGTTGTATCTCGCAAGAGTGGTTTGAAGTTTTTCTAAAAGTTATTTTGTATATTTTTTGGTTAAGTTTAATTCTACATACTACTTTTTGGTTGCTATTATACATGGGCCTATACTTTTTATTATATAATTTAATTGACTTTTTTATGTGTGAAACATACTGATTTCTGCATCCTGTAATCTTAATAAATTATCTTATTCTTGTAATAGTTTTATAGATTTCTTTTGGGTTCCCTGAGTATACAATCATATAATCTCCAAATAGAGATGGTTTATATCCTTGTTTCCAATTTTCTACTATATTTGTTTTCTATGGCTTCATTATGTTAGTATAATACAATATGATGTGTTATTAAATAGTAGGCTTTCTTATTGCTGATTTTAGGATAAGTTGCTGCAGTATTTTCCCTTTAAATAAGATGCTGTATTTTAGAGTAATAATATGTTCACATATGTATGTATGATATAATCATATCATAACTATGTATGATTTTAATTTATGACTATATACATTTTAGTTTATAGCATAAACTAAAGCAGTGAAAAAATCCTAACTGAACTTGTTTTTTGTAATGGAAGTCTGTTTATAATCAGATTAAATAATAATTAGAATTATTTAGAATATAATTTATCACCTGTATATTTGGTATGTAAAAATAGAATGCCCATTATTTCTAATTCATATCAACTTTTATATCAGATTAGAGAGATTTCTAATTGAGATAACTGAAACTTTTTTAAAAATGGGAATACTGGAATATATAGTAAAATTATGGATATTCATTGAACTATAAATGTCATGATAAGTATATGTTCAAGATGGTCTTAAATATTAAACAGAAGAATTTATAATTCAGACTGGACCATCAAAGACATTTGAGCAATTTAGGAGAATTACTCTAACAACATGGAGTGAAGAGAATTTGTAATATGTAGCCTGCAGTTGACTTTTTAAATGATACTTATTATTTCTTTTTCTCTTCTCTGCTTAGGAAATTGAACTTAGCTCATTAAGGGAAGCTTTGTCCTTTGTGTCATTAATTGATGGATATTATAGATTAACTGCAGATGCACATCATTACCTCTGTAAAGAAGTGGCACCTCCAATGGTGCTTGAAAATATACAAAGCAACTGTCATGGTCCAATTTCGTGAGTAATACAGACCTAAAGTTTTAGAAAAGTAAATGAGATATTTACAAAGAAGTTTTCACACAACAGAGTAACATACATAGGTTTAGGAGTTTAGAAAAACATATCTTAACTGAAGTTTTTTGTAATAAAAGTCTATTTACAATCATGTTAAATAAAATTAGAATTATTTAGGATATAATTTATCACCTGTACCCGACTCTACAATACTTCTAACTTGTATAAGTTTGACATTTAGTTGTCTGGGTGTGTTATAAGTTAGTGATAAGTGAAGCAGAGATGATTCTTGCTTTCATGTAGATTATATTTTGACCTTTCTTTCAAGATGTACACCTTCAATAAAACATGTAGCAAATTTTTAAATTAATAGTTTTTGTTACTTGTCATGGGTCTTCTGCTAGACTTTGATATTACATTAAATATTAAAATAAATAAATTTTTATATTAGAAATTGCTATGGTAGAAGAGACATACATGTTTTATTATATGTTGTTTGCATAGTTAAGTTAAATTTTATGAGAGTATGGTTTTTTAAATACTAAGTTTGTAATCAGAAGGCAAAAAAATCGAATGAATGACTTGCTCTTTGTGATTTTGTGGATCCTTTTATTTATTTTTAAAGCAGTATAATTGCCCCTTGAATTGGTTTGAACTTTCATTATTTTTCATTACAAGATTATTGATAAACTTACAAAGTAGAGGAGACTTCTAAAAATTCTGAGTTTTATTTATTTTTTTAAAGATTTTATTTATTTATTTTGAGAGAGAGAGAGAGAGAGAGAGAGAGAGAGAGAGAGAGAGAGAGAGAGAGAGAGAGAGACATTGAGAAAGAGCATCAATGTGCGGTTGCTGGGGGTCATGGCCTGCAACCCAGGAATGTACCCTGGCTGGGAACCGAACCTGGGACACTTTAGTTCCCAGCCCGCGCCCAATCCACTGAGCTACGCCAGCCAGGGCTAAAATTCTGAGTTTTAGATTTGACTTTTGATCTTTTGCTTGGCACCTTGCTATGTCATCATTCACATTATTTCTTTACCTTTAGGATGGATTTTGCCATAAGTAAACTGAAGAGAGCAGGTAATCAGACTGGACTCTATGTACTTCGATGCAGTCCTAAGGAGTTTAATAAATATTTTTTGACTTTTGCTGTTGAGGTTAGTATGTCAGATTAATTGATGGTAACATCTTTATTCAATCTATATAATTTTCCCTTCATGTTTATCTGCCATATTTCCTTTTTAGTACTCTGAATTATGGCTTTGGATATAACTAGCATAATAATATTTCATTTACCTCAGAGATTCTGCATATATAATACACATGATATAATTCCTATGATTTATATAAAAATATAAAATGATTTATAATGTCTTTCTGTCTTTTATGTAGAATTTATTTAATTTTTTTGATGTTTGGGTATCACAAGTGTGTAAAATTGCATCAAGTCTCTTAAAGTCTCCTTTTTTTCAGAAAAATGGAAATCTTTACCAAAACTTGTGGAACAAAGTAAATAAGCAAACTTTCCTTATACTAGTAATGGTTACAAGACTAGAGTGAAGTAGGGCAATAATAAAGAAACAAACGTTTTTACCTGTAACTAGTGGTTTTTTATTATTAAGAGTAATGATCTACTATATTTGTTTGTTTATTTGTTTGTTTTTAATCCTCACTCGAGGACATACTCATTGATTTTAGGGAGAGGGAAAAGGAGGGAGAGAGAGAAGGAGAGAAACATCAACTGGTCACCAACTGGGAACTGAACCTGCAACCTAGGTTTGTGCCCTGACCAGGAATCAAACCCATGGACCCTTCAGTTTACAGATCAATGCTCCAACCAACTGAGCCACACTGGCCAGGGCTACAATGTATGTTTTAAGCATAAAACTACGATGAAACCTCACTGTTAATTCAGATTATTTAGGATGTCATTTGAGATTGTTCACTATCCAAAATTATATAAAAAGATGCTATCACTTAAAAGGCAGTTTCATGATATAAATCTTGAGAACCTTTATATCAGCTTCCAGAATTTATCTTGCTTTTTAAACATAACAAAGTAATGATTTTACTATTCAGTTATTTTAAGTTTGATAAAATACAGCCACCTTATTTTAGCATATGTAGGATGGACTAATTGTCCATAAAAACAGAAGGTAGGTTACTCCATAACTTCAGAATTGGAGAATACTCTGTATAGTATTTTCTTACTATAATTATAGCAGTTAATTATATTCAGTTATCAAATGAAAATGACCATATTGTTACATATTAGGGAGTGTACGATATATAGCCCTGTGTTTCAAGAAATTTATCTTTTGGAAAAAATAAGAAAGTATACCAAAAAATACTAAAAAGAGCATTGTAATTATTCAGTCTAGGCAAATAGAGATAACAGAAAAGGTTACAGTTGTTAAGAAAGATCTTTTGGTATAGGAAGGTTGAGGTTGACTTTGAGGAAGTATTGGGTTAGCCAAAAAGTCCATTTAGTTTTTTCCATAAAATAAAAGACATATTTTTCATTTTCACCAATAATTTTGCTGATTTGGATATTTTGAGTATGTAGGTTATCTCCCACTATTGGCTTCTTGCCAGTGGTGCTGCTAAACATCTTCCAATGTATTAGACAGCCCCACAGCAAAGAATTATTTGTCTGAAATGACAATAGTACCAAGAAACTTCACAAATCACTTTTGACACAATTTGATCAGTCATAGTACCTTCTCCATACACTGCATAATTCTTTTTTTGCATTTCAGTTACATATTTACCTTTCTCAAAACAATAAAACATAATATGCTGAAAATGTTGCATATTTTCTTCCATTTTTAATATTAAAATGGCTGCACAAAGATTCACCAATTTTGATTCCTTTTAAAAATTATATTTTATTGATTATGCTATTACAGTTGTCCCAGTTTTTTCTCCTTTTCCCCCTTCTACTCAGCAACCCGTACTCCCTCAGGCAGTCCCCATACCATTGTTCATGCTGGTGGGCCACACAGTGTAAGTTCTTCTATAAGTTATTTGGCTACTCCATTTCCTATATTTTGCTTTACCTCCCCATGGCTATTCTGTAACTGCCCTATTGGTACTTCTTAATACCCTCATCTCTTCAAACATTCCCCCAACAACCCCTTCCCATCTGGCAACCATCAAAACACTCTGTGTATCCATGATTCTGTCTCTGTTCTTGTTTGCTTAGTTTGTTTTTTAGGTTCAATTGTGGACAGTATGTATTTATTTCCATTTTATTGTTCATAGTTTTTATCTTTTTCTTAAATAAGTCCCTTTAACATTTCATATAATAATGTTTTGGTGATGATGAACTCTTTTAGTTCTTTCTTGTCTGGGAAGCTCTTTATGTGCCCTTCAGATCTAAATGATAACTTTGCTGGGCAGAGCAATCTTGGCTGTAAGTCCCTGCTCATGACTTTGAGTATTTCTTGCCAACCCCTTCTAACCTGCAAAGTGTCTTTTCAGAAATCAGTTGACAGTCTTAAGGGAACCCCCCTGTAGGTAACTAACTGCTTTTCTCTTGCTGCTCTTAAGATTCTCTCTTTATCTTTAACCTTGGGCATTTTATTTATGGTGTGTCTTGGAGTGGGCCTCTTTGCATCCATCTTGTTTGGGACTCTGTGTGCTTCCTAGACTTGCATATCTATTTTCTTCACCAAATTAGGGAAGTTTTCTTCCATTATATTTTTCAAATAGATTTCCAATGTCTTTCTCTTTCTCTTCTTCTTCTGGTAATCCTATGATGTGAAAGTTGGAATGCTTGAAGTTGTCCCAGAGGCTCCTTATACTATTCTCATTTTTTTGGATTCCTTTTTCTTGCGTTGTTCTCATTGGTTGTTTTTTTGCTTCCTTATGTTCCAAAAAATTGATTTCATTCTTGGCTTCATCCACTTCTACTGTTGTTTCCTTGTAATTGTTCTCTATTTCAGAAAGTGTATCCTTCATTTTTTTATATGCTGTTGAGGTCCTGACTAAGTTCCTTGAACATCTTTATGAGCAGTGTTTTGAACTCTGCACCTGATAGATTACTTATCTCCATTTTGTTTAGTTCTTTTCCTGGAGTTTTTATCTATTCTTCCATTTGGGCCATGTTTCTTTTTCTCCTCCTTTTGTCAGCCTCCCTGTGTTTGTTTCTATGTATTAGGTAGAGCTGCTTTGACTCTGTGTTTTGGTAGCATGGCCTAATGTAGTAGGTGTCCTGTAGGGTCCAGTGGTACAGCCTCCTCTATTACCCAAGCTGAGTACTTTAGGTGTGCCCTCTATGTAGGCTGAGTACACTCTTCTCTTGTAGTAGATCTTTGATTGTATTTGGCAGGTCAATGGGAGGTATTTACCCAGGCCAGTCAGTTTCAAATATTGGCTGTGACCACTTACCACCAATCTGCATCCTCATTGGAGGATCAGCTGTGCAGGGGGCAGGGTTGTTGTGCTCCAGCATGGTCTGTAGCTGTCCACTGGGTGCGCAGACTCTAGGGTTTCCTGGGTGGTGGCAGGCCAAGGTCAGCCACTACCTGTATTCTGCCCAGGCCACCCTGCCTGAGCTATAATGCAATCCAAGGTGGCTGCTACTTGTGCTGAGCTTCGAGATTCCCAGGCAAAGCCAATCTGTGAATCTAGGCTGGCCGCTGTTAGTGCTGTGCCTGGAGCCACTTAACAAGAGGTGTGGGTGGGGGCGGCGGGGGAGGTGCTGGGTGCTTTAAGTTAGGCAGGACAGAGATATCCAGGGTAGGGCAAACCCTTCAGCCAGATTAATGGAGTCTCATATATGATATCCACCTGCCCACTCTGTAGCTCTGCCAACCTTTCTGCCTGGGAGAAAGCTGTCGCCCAACTCTAGCCTTGATGCCAGCCACTTCCAATTCCTCCCTTGTGCCTTTCAAGCTGCTACTGCAGTGCTAGAGCTCTGAGGGAGTGAGTCTGACTCAGTTCGTGTGTGGGTTTTTAAGAGGAACTGCTTGGGACTCCAGAAATTTCTTCCACTTACTCCATCCCTGGTAGCTTTTACAGCCAGAAGTTATGAGGACTTTCTTCCTGGCACTGGTAGCCTGGGCTGGGGGACCTGGTGTGAAGCTGTGACTCTTTGCTCCAGAGATGTCCCTCCCAAATTTTTATCCTCCACAGGAGGTTGACCAGTGTGTTCTGTGTCTCCACCCCTCCTACCAGGCTGGGTGGATGTGGTTTCTTTAATTTCGTAGTTGTCAGACCTCCATTCTACTTGATTTCTGATGGTTCCTAGTGATGGTTGTTCTATAATTTAGTTGTTATTTTGATGTGGTTGTGCCAGGAGGTGAAACATGTTTACCTATGCCATCATCTTGACCAGCACTCCTTTGGTAAGTTTTCTAAAATATGCATGCTAATATAATAGCTGTTACAATGCAGTCTAACAAAATTGTTTTGAATGAAGTTAAAGACAACTAAGCACTACTACAGCCAATATATGGAAAAAACTTAATGAACATTTTTGGCCAACCCAATATTTAGTTGTATTTTTATAGGATATGCAATATATTCCTTTTTGAGGAATCAAGCACCTCTACCATCCTACACTGTTCCTACACAAGGATTCATGATTCAAATGTCTAAATATCTTGTTGGTTATTTTTGTGGAATCTATTTTTTCACAATAATCACCATGATGTCCATTGTGATTTTTCCTCTCTCTTTTATAATTAAACTTATATAGCGAGAAAATGTCATTGAATATAAGCACTGTTTGATTACAAAAAATGAGAATGGAGAATACAACCTCAGTGGGACTAAGAAGAACTTCAATAATCTTAAAGATCTTTTGAATTGCTATCAGATGGAAACTGTTCGCTCAGACAATATAATTTTCCAGTTTACAAAATGCTGTCCCCCAAAGCCAAAAGGTAAAATAATATTCCTGTTATTTTTAAAATATAGGTCATGGCTTATATATATAGTGAGTGATAACTTCAGTATATTGATTTGAAAAGAAATATTGAAGAAGCAGCTCCAAATAACAGACTAATTTTGTCTCATTCTTTTATATATACATCCTCAAATAGCATTGTTCAGTTTGGTTTGAGTTGCCTAAAAGTGATGGGAAGTTCCATAATTCTAAAATGCTATTTAAAGATAATAGTTGCTTGCTATAAACCAGTCAGTATTTATTGAAGTGAAAGAAAGACCTCACTACCAAATTCTCACATTTGGTTCTAAGTAAAAACTTTCATACTCTTAGAATTTTAATTTCTAAACTTTTAAAATTAAAATGGTAAGGTTGGGAATGTCTTTAAAAATAGGATTTTTAAAAATTGTCAAAATTCCTGAAAAATTATATTAGTTAAGGAAGTGATTATAATTTTGAATATTTGAAAGAACTGGTTAGAGGACATTAAAATTTAATGAATAAAATACTAAAGTAATTTTCTATGAAAAAATGAGTAGTAAGTTGTTAAACATTTCTTATATTTAGGACACATTTTATTTTACCACTTTGGAGCAGTTATTTCCTTAGTGTGTTTTGATTATACGTGTTTTTCATTATTTTCTTTTACAGATAAATCTAACCTCTTAGTCTTTAGAACCAATGGTGTTTCTGATGTACCAACCTCACCAACACTACAGAGGCATAATAATGTGAACCAAATGGTGTTTCACAAAATCAGAAATGAAGATTTGATATTTGTAAGTTTTTAGATACTGATTATTGTCTTTTTTGTCTTTTTAAAGTAACAATTATTTCCCACTTATATTCATGTGACAGTTGGAACTATTTTATTATAATCTATATTGTTAAAATTTATTGCCGATTAATATTTTTATTTCTTGTGAAAATGTGATACTGAACTTGAGTTAGAAATTAGTAAAGTTAATTATTTTAAGAAGGGAATTATATTCTCTTTTCAGGATTTTAAAAATTTCTTTTTAAATCTTAAATTAAAATTATTAAATGGTCTTGTACAAAAGACCTATATCTTAATGATCACGTCGTAGAGAAAAAGGAAATTGAAGGAGCCAAAAATAAAGAAGAAACTGAAAACAGAGTAGTATATAAGAGCCAGTGTTTTGGGTATAGAATGTTGGGGTTTGGGATTAATCTCAAAAACTAAGGGGGTTAAGATCTAAAAGTAGGGCCAAGTCATAGGGTCTACACAAGACCAGGAATTAAAAGTGAAGCTGTCTCTGAAAGCCAAGACCTTCAAGTAAATATATTCTCAGTAAAACAGTATGTGGAGTGTGAAAAATTCACCCACTAGCAGCAGGAGGAGTATTTTCTGTTTTAATTAGGCTCTTAGTTAGGAAAAAAATCTCTCCTGAGAATTTGTAATCATAAGCTTTTGAGTTTGGGTTTCTTTATTCCATTTGCATGATCTGAGAAACCCTAAGCTAATAAATAAAATAAGAAGTGATACTCCCCTAGTAATACCCTGTGGTAAGTGGCAGAAGCAGAAACAAAATCTTTTTTGAAAGAACATACTCTTAACCTAGATTACTCAGGACTCCCCAGATGAAACAAATCCAAATATGAGATTTTAATAGAAAAAATTAAAACATACAGGAGAATAATCCAAGAGTGAGGGAGTCAACAGACCAACAAACGTCAAAAGTACTTCATTAACAGACTTTTTAGAAAGAGATTATAAAATACATAAATATTTTTAAAGATATAACAGGACTTGAAAACAGGGGGAAGGGGGAAATGAGACATTATTTAAATTTAAAAAGACCAAAAAGATTTAGAGAAGAAAGATATAGAAATGAAAAATATACTAGCCCTGGCTGGTATGTCTCAGTAAATTGAATGCCGACCTGTGAACCAAAGGGTCGCCAGTTTGATTCCCAGTCAGGACACATGCCTGGGTTGCAGGCCAGGTCCCTGGTGGGTGGTACGTGTAAGGCAATCATACATTGATGTTTCTTTCCCTCTCTCCCTCCCTCCCTTCCCCTCTAAAAATAAATAAGTAAAATCTTTTAAAAAATAGAAAAAACTATACTCATTGACCTTAAAACAAAATGTACAGATTAAAAAACAGATTATTTATAGTTGAAGAGAGAATTAGTGACTTGGAAGATAGATCTGGAAGTTATTCAGGTATAGCAAATAGGGAGAAAGAATTGGAAATTACGAAGAGAAATTAGGAACATGGAGAACAGAATGAGAAAGATTAACTAATGTCTAAATTCCATAATGAGACAGTAGATAGAATTAACAAGATTTGTAAAGACGTAAATTCTTATGTAAATAATGGGTAGTCTAACATTACAAACTAATAACAGTAGAGTTTCAATTTGAACATAGGCAGCCCTGCTTTAGAGTTCAGAGTGTCAATTACTCTGTTAAGGATATGTAGGAAATACTAAGTAATAGTAGTAATAACATTTACTATGTGTCATGGGCTAGGCTAAGTGCTTTCATATATTTATTCATTTATTGTTCATAAAAGCCTATGGAAAAATAGTTATTTTTCTCATTCCTCCAATGAGGAAACCAAGACAACTGCAGTGCAGAGATTACATTGCCGCAGGGATTACAAGGTCACACAACTAGAAGGTAGTGGATAATAAGGACCAAGTTAGGTATTCTGCCTCCACAGACCATATTGCACTGCCTTTCTACTGCACTATTAGGAAAGGAAATCCAAAAAATATTCACATCTAAATAAATATAAGTAAACTTTGACTTTATAAATAAGTGATAATTACAACTAATTCAGGGGGTTAAGAACCAGGTAAAACCAAAATATACTTTATTCATTAATCCTTGTTTTCTTGTCTTCTATTAGAGTGTAAGGAAGCAAAATATACTTAATTTAGAGTCTTAAATCTAGATTTAGTTTGTAAGAGAAATATTTGCTAATGGATTTTTTTAACTCTTTGTCATTGAACATATTTCCTAATTCTCACATCATTAACCATGTTTACTCATTCTTTCCTTTCTTTTAAAGAATGAAAGCCTTGGGCAAGGCACTTTCACAAAAATTTTTAAAGGTGTAAGAAGAGAAATAGGAGACTATGGTCAACTGCATGAGACAGAAGTTCTTTTAAAAGTTTTGGATAAAGCACATAGAAACTATTCAGAGGTGTGTATGTTTTTTGTGTTCATGTAGCTTATGATTTTTAAAGATGTGGTCTCATATGCAAACAACATATTCGTGCTTGTAGTTTTTCAAAATTGCAACTTTAAAAAGTATATATATCAAGGACTTTCAGAGGATGCCTTCTGGTGTGGCTATAGAAAATTATAGAATATTTTTTTTAATAACATTTCCAAACTAATTACTTTTAGCATTGTGTTATGGGTATTACTACATCTTTTCATATCCTAAGGCAGTGGTTTTCAAACTTGGTTGCCAGAGCTTTGTGAGTTTCATAGATTTCCTCACAATTTCATCTACTTTTTTTTTAGAAAAGAGTTTGTACTAAGGAACATTCTGGGTGAAATATGGATTCCAGAGATTTTAGCCCACAGAAACCCAGCCGCCATTTGCTAGAGTCCTTAGCATAGCAAGGCATCATCAAAGAGTTGTGATACTTAAATTGTCTTAAAGGATGTTAGTGGAAGATGATATGAAACATGTAAGTCGAAGAGTTGCTCTAACCCAGAACACCAAAGTGTTAGTGAATATGATCCTCAATAGCCATAGCCAGAAGTTCTAGTCAAAGTTTAGTTGAGTTAGAGTGATGTAAATACTGTGCTAATCTCCCAACATAGTTGTCATGGTATTTTATCTGCATAGAGATCATTTTTAATTTCTTAGGAAGTGTAATTTAAAGCTCCCATCCATTTATTTCAGTCCCATATTACTGTCTCTATTGTCTACCTCTGTACCTGTCTTCTACTCTGGGTGCCATGGGTTTCAAGTCTTTAATCTTCCATTATTCATGCTGCCCTGTACCACTATTGCTCACTCTCTCTCATTGCTATCTGCTTATTCCAGCCTTATTTAGGGGTTTCCTCAGGAAGAACTCAAGCATTAAGGTTGATGGCCATTGCAAGACAATATAAGGGGAACAAAGTACATTGTAGCTTTATTTATATTGTTCTCAGGAGAATAGAAAGGTGCATTTCTCTTATCTTTGTGAACTGTCAACACTTACAGGCACAAACAATAATTCTTTTGCATGATTTTCTTTTCCTTAGTCTTTCTTTGAAGCAGCAAGCATGATGAGCCAGCTTTCTCACAAGCATCTGGTTTTAAATTACGGAGTATGTGTCTGTGGAGAGGAGAGTAAGTAAATCTCTGGCTTCCTTATGTTAATGTTATGACTTTCTCAGTACATCTATTTTTGTTCATATAGAAAACTCAAGATAGAAAAACGTACTGTAACAACAATTAAAATTTTTTAAAAATTAAAAAAAAGAAAATTCAATTTCAGGATTACAGTTAGGTGTCAGTATAAACCATAATTTAACAGGAACTAAATATTATTGAAACCCAAAACATTGTAGAACCATTCAGTAAAGTCTTCTAAAAAAGGAAACCAATGAATGAAATTAAAATGCATAAAATAGTTAACTGTTGCGCGTGGGTCACTGGCCAGCAGTGACCATGGAACGCTTCGGATGGCTCGCCGAAAAACACGCGAGAAAAAACAACATGCTCAGAGGCAGACCAGTTTCTGTGGGGAAGTAGGGACGAAATGGCCACCCACCCTAGTGGGGAGCGTGCCGATTTACCATCCATACCTGCTTTTATTGGGCTCATTCTGCATAATAATTCAGGTAAAGTACAGTACTCATTAGGGGGAAGTAAGGAACCATAGAAAACAAGGAACTCTGCCGGTCTATTTTGTCGGGGTCAAAGAGCTGTAAGACTGAGGAACAAATTAACTTCCTCCTAAGACCCTTCTCATTCAACTGAGAGCATTCTAACAAAGAAGGTTTCACAGTAATTTACATATTCTTTCTTAGGCCTGATCACCCGGGGAATCTGCCCTTTTCAGCACAGAGCTGCGCCACCCTGTCATTGTCTCAGGCTTAGTTGCAGCAAGGGAACTAAGGCAATCAAGAGATAAGGAGATGTTCTCCCAGGCGATGAGAACTCAGGCTATGTCAAAGCCAAGGAGCTAGAGTCCATCACCCCCTTTTGCTGCAGCCCCCCAAGTCCTTCTTTTGGGGGGCCTCCCAAAGTGATCGTGCCTGTCTTAGGTCGTTCCCCCCTTGGGGAATCTTACCCGTCTTTGGCTAACCGACCAAGCTTTTTGGGGGTTCAGTTATGAATAAAGCAGCAGAAGCAGCATTCCTGCCAGGGAGATAAGCTTTTGTCTCCTTGCTGGCTTACAGTTCCAAGGGCGTTCCCTTAGCCTTAGCCTAGGCGGGGGTTACAGCTTCTGATACCAGTCAGGGCGGTTCCCAACAGTTAACATGGCTTATGTTAAAATGCTGAAAAACAGTACAGAATTATAGTAAACAATGTTTACTAATCTTTTACCATAACAATATACAGGTTGGGGAAAAAGTAGGTTTACATTTGTAAGTATGCAAAACACAGAGTTTATTCCTGTATTATTATTTATTAATTATTGTATTATTTTACATTTGAACAACTGCAAACCTCCTTTTGCCCAACCCTGTAGATTACAGCTGGTTTAACTTAACATTGGAATAACTGATGATTCCAGTATAGTACCAATTTATTTGGGTTTATAAAGACAAAGTATATAAATTGCAGAATGATTCTTAATGAAGCCAACTGAAATGGTTGGATGTTGATACTTGCTATATTCTATGTCTAAATATAGACTGTTCATAAAAATAATGAAGTTTACATTCAGAAAATTTTATGTAATTCCCCATTTTCCATTAGTAATGTGTATTAGATATGCATCCATACTTATATAACATTGCCTCATATATTTGAAAATTGAGAGTCTTTTCAAAGGCAGGTGATTTTCAAATCTGTTTTCTGGAAGTTCCTCAGGCATCTTAGGGGTTTAATAAAAGAAGAGTAAATCTAAATACAGTAGTAGAGAGTTCTACCCACTGATCGCTAACTAGAGTGGTTTTATATTTATCTATGATTTATTGATTCTTCTCATAATTTTTCATTTTGGGGAAAAAGAAGAGTATACTTAGAGCATATAATTACAATTCTTACACTTGCTTTTATACTTCATTGATTCTGTGATATACTTTTTTCACATTTAAGAATATATGAAATTGAGGTGTGATATAATTGATGGCATATCAGTTTAATTGGTAATTTTTTTCTTTTATGACATAAAATAAGGGGACATGTGACAATCTATAGTACCTATGAAACATAGTAGGTCTTAAACGCCACGTAAAGAGGTTTGATGAAGCACATGTTCATTGTAACTCTCATCATTTGATTTTTTTTGTTTTGAAACTTTTCCTGACAAATTTATCTGCAGGCTGTCTTTTTTCAAATTAAACGTATTGGGCTAACATTGATCAATACTTAATTATTGGCATGTGAATTGTTTTCCAAATTAACTATGGGCAGCAAAACTTTAATTTGTTTTTGTCACCCAGCAAGGTCCAAAGGCAACTTTTATTATGAACAGTTGTTATATACCAAATTAAAACTAAGTAATTTTAATATTAAATCAAGCAGAATCACAATTCAAGATTAGTTCTACAGTACGCATTTTAAAGTCAATATATAAAACATAGGCATGTATGAAGTATAGGCACTTAAAAAGTTACTGGGCCAAAAACAAACGTGCATTACAGTGTGAAGTCTATCAGAATTTCTTTTTTGTTGTTGTTATTTTTTAAGATTTTACTTATTTATTTTTAGAGAGAGGGGAAGGGAGGGAGAAAGAGAGGGAGAGAAACATCAGTCTCTGGTTGTCTCTTGCATGCCCTGGGGGGACCTGGCCTGCAACCCAGGCTTGTGCCCTGACTGGGAATTGAACCAGTGACCCACAGGCCTGCATTCTATCCACTGAGCCACACCAGCCAGGGCTGTCAGAATTTCTTTAAAAATATATATCATGACACCATGTTTACAATTTTTACTTTAATTTTTGTGTATTTTATTTTATATCTTAATTTCCCAATTTTTAATTTTGAAAGCAACACTATTTGTGGTTTAGAAACAACAAAATGACCTCAATAAATTCAAATTTGAAATTGAGAACTTGAGCTTATTACTCTATTACAAATTATTACTGGATGAATGCAAGTAAACCCTAAACCCAGTTAAATATTTTATTAAATAACATGCTTTTGGTAGGAACAGTCTTGGCTTTCAGGAACTTGGTCAATACTAACAGGGTTGAGAATTTGTATTGTGCCTTAAAGTTAGCCAGTACTGTTTCTAAGAACTAGTATTTTTTTTTTTCTGGTAAAACACATGGTCTAACACAAATAATGCCTCTTTTCATTATAAAATCTTTTACTACAAAATCATAAACATGTAATTCTGTAACATAACAGTAGCACACTCAAGCACACCCTATGACATTTTAGGTGAAATGTTCCAATTTAAACTATAAATTACACCCATATTACAACCCTACCACCCACAGTCAAGCAGGCATTACTTTTGCTGGACCCTATATATCTTAATAATATATTTTTTAAGTTTTAAAGATAAAGCAATGCAAAGCACTAATTTTTTACAGCATAAAATAAAGGAATGGATGCAGTTCAATGCAAATTATGCTTTATGTCTCATAGAATAGACATTGCTATTAGTTTTGGGGTGTGGAAGAAGAATTTCAGGAAGTTTTGAATGTTTAAATAGTTTCATGGAAGAAAAAATTATGTGAGAAATTCTCATTTGTTTTGAAAAAGCAGCCATAATTTAGTACTGACACATCACGGTGTACTGAAGTAATATTTTATGTGTGTGTGTATAAAATGTGTATATAATAATGTTATATATACATTATACAATATTTATGTACATAATAATATATAATACATGATGCAATATATATCATTACTATATGTAATACATAATTACGTATAATATTGTAGATACAGTGGTTTAGGTTCCTACCTTTTACTGTTGTGAATAAACTAAACTCCTCTCAAATGGTACATAGCTGTTAAGCTTTCTTTGAATTAGTGAATTTTACCCTGATTGGTGTGGCTCAGTGAGTTAGACATTGCCCTGCAACAACCTGAAAGGTCACCGGTTCAATTCCTGGTCAGAGCACAAGCCTTGGTTGTGGGCCAAGTCTCCAGCTGGGGGCATGCAAGAGGCAACCAATTGATGTTTCTCTTACACACTGATGTTGTTCTCCCTCTCTTTCTCCGTTTTTTTCCATCTCTAACTATATGTAAATAAATAAAATATTTTTAAAAATTAGTGAATTTTAGCCCTGGCTGGCGTAGCTCAGTGGATTGAGCGCGGGCTGGGAACCAAAGTGTCCCAGGTTCGATTCCCAGCCAGGGTACATTCCTGGGTTGCAGGCCATAACCCCCAGCAACTGCACATTGATGTTTCTCTCTCTCTCTCTCTCTCCCTCCCTTCCCTCTCTAAAAAATAAATAAATAAAATTAAAAAAAAAATTAGTGAATTTTATATAGTTAAATCTCTTTTATAATACCCACATATAACTATAAATATATTTATAAAAGTTTAAAATTACATATTTTTATTGTGTATGTATACTACAGCCTTATTATCTTATATTTTTATGCAGATATTCTGGTTCAGGAGTTTGTGAAATTTGGATCACTAGATACATATTTAAAAAAGAATAAAACTTCTATAAATATATTATGGAAACTTGAAGTGGCTAAACAGCTGGCATGGGCCATGCATTTTCTAGTAAGTAATTAGTATATTCTTCTATCAAAAATTTGTTTCATTTTATGAAGCAGTGTAGAAAGGCTCTTGACCTGGGAGTAAGAAATAAATTTATGAATGGATGCTGAGTAATTTAATCTGTGTTAGTTTATGAAAGGTATTATTTTAGGCACATAGTTTTAAATAATTTAGAAATAGTTTTGTCATCCCACCAATCTTGGAGAACTGAAGAACAGACGGTCTGTAGTTTGTGTCACTTAGGTTGAGAGAATTTAACCAAAAATTATGCAGAAACTTGTGTTTACTATGGATGGTAGAAAACACCTTAGAATATAACTTGTTGTGGTATTTGTGGGCAATTAGAAATTATGCCCAATAAGAAAGCAATATTGCTAAAGAAGGAGAATACCAGAGGGTCAGCCAGTGATCAGATTCCTCAGAGTGCACCTGTATTGTGCTGCTGAACAAAATAGTATTTCTGTCAGCTACCACCTAGAAATAGATGCTACTTAAAATCTCAGCTTTAGAAACTAAAGTGGCATTGAGTAGTTTTAATGTATTTGTCTTATTATGGGTATAGATTATTTTATCATTTAAAATATAAAACAGGAAGCATACTGTTAGCCATACAATTTCCTTTTGTTATCTCAAAGTATACCTCCAAATTAATTTTACTAATTAATACTATCTTAGTTTTCTTTTTTAAATCCATTTTGGGGTCTAAGTTATATTGAGTGCTTGTATATTTATGGATTGATATTTGAATGTATGTCCATTTTACTTTAATAGGAAGAAAAAACCCTTATCCATGGGAATGTGTGTGCCAAAAATATTCTACTTATCAGAGAAGAAGACAGGAAGATAGGAAATCCTCCTTTCATCAAACTTAGTGATCCTGGCATTAGTATTACAGTTTTGCCAAAGGACAGTAAGTTCTACAAGGATTGTATTTAACTTCATTAAGTTTTACTTGGAGGGTTGAATTAAAAAAGTGTTAATTCTTAAACCATTTTATTGACTTGTTCTTGATTAATAATAAAATTTACCATTTTTGGCAATCTAAATTAAGTAATAGTTACATTCAAGTCTCTGTCCATTTGTCCTTATAAGCTTGTTACTATGAACTGTCAACTGATGGTCATTGGTGCTAATTCAGTGCCAATGGGAATCCCCAAATTTGGGGTGTGGTAGAAAGGGAAACTTTGTTCAGTGCATAACAGGGCAATTGTGATACAGAATGACTGTGAAAACAGGCGGCCCTGGGGTCAGACCCCTTTCTGGCTAGACACCTCTGCTCTGCTCTGCTCCTTGTTGGTCTGCTGTGCTTCATGCCAGTCTGCTCAGCACTGTGCTGGTCTGCTCTGTTCTGTGCCAATCTGCTTTGGTGAGAAGCCAGGGAAATGCTGTTTTTTCTTGGATGGAAAGTAAAGTGCACTTTCAGAGCAAGAGGCCAGGGGGCTTATATCGACAGAAATCTTCGCGTCTTCCCTAATCATTCTGTCTTTATGCAAATGAGGCTTCCAGATCCTTACAGTTTGATTGGTCCAAAAGTCACTGTCCCAATTGGTCAGAACAGAGCCAGTCTAGTTGGCTGGAGTTATGCTGCTCCAATTGGACGAGAAAAGCCTTAGTCCTATTGATTGAAATAGGATTTCACAGCTTCTTTATAAGGGCTGACTCAGATGGTAGAATCACAGTGCAGGCATGCAGTTCAGTGCAGAGGCAAGTAGTTCAGTGCAGGCTTCTCCTTAAAGTACAGTTTGTATGAGAGGCTACCCCTGTGTAGAAATGTCTGCTAGGCTCTGTTTTTTGTTGGTGGTTTTTTTTGTTTGTTTGTTTTTCAAATTTGAGCTCAGTTAGCCACCAGGAGCCCTTCTTGGTAGGCATTTTCTTTCTCAGGGTCCACAGGACTGTAAGATAATTTTTTTAAACAGTTTTAATCCCCAATTCTATATGGAAGGGCAGATTTTATCTTTATATTTATTTTCTATTTTACTTATTTTTTGAAGACTATGATAATATGCAAAAATCTTGGCTATATTTCTGAATATTTCCTTAGATACCTACAGTACAATTACTGGGTCAAGGGATGGGAATATTTTTAAGGCCCTTGATATGAGTCATCAGGGAGCTCTCTGAAAAACTGGTATTTAATTGTCCTCAGAGGGCTTTCTAGCACTCTGGAGAACTCCTCATTTAATAGATGAAAATAACATCTCATTCGTTTGCTTTCCTGTTCTGTGATTACTCATGACATTGAAGAGTTTTTCGTAAACTTATTGTGTGCTTGAATTCACCCTTCACTGTTTCTTCACATGTTTTGTCTGGTTTTCTCTGCCAGTCTTAGTAAACTTTTTATTGATCCTCCTATATTCTTCATGGAATAATAGTAACCTTTCTCATTTTTTATCAAATTCTTTACAATTCTGATTCACTTTTTAATTTCTTAACATTAAGATTGTTTAAGTACGAAAATTTGTTGATAATTTTCTTTATAATTTCTTCCATTGCTTTTAGGCTTTAATAGTTCTTTCCTACCCACAGACAGAATATTCAACTAAATGTTTTTCTGTTTATTTGATGTTCTTTGTTTACTTGTTATGCCTATTGAACTGGAGTTTATTTGGATGTTTGTACAGTGTAGCTTAATTGACTTTTTTTGCGGAGTTAGCCAGTTTTACACTCTGTCTCTGTAGTATTCATGGGTCCTTTCTTTGTCATCTACTGCATTCTTCTAAATATCGGGATGTGCTTTGCATGTATATTTCTCATACATTTGTCAAATGACTTTTATTTTATTTATCATTTTATCCATAATTTTTAAAAATAGTTTTGATCCCTAATTGTATATGGAGGGTCAGATTTTATCCATTTTTAAAATGAAATTTTCTAATATTCTTTGAACCACAAGTAAATTTGCTAAATTTTTCTTTCCTTAGTCACTAAATAAAAATTTGAGGAGATATGTTTACCTAGTTTGAGACTTTAGTTTAATTACTCAGCTAATTCTGACTTTTTAAAGAATAAGACAAGCAAACCTTTCTTTTGTGTTTCTTAACCCTTCTGTTTAACACATTTAGTTAAAATGAACAATTTCAGTCGAATAGTTGAGAAAAGTTATTTTGGTCCAAATAATATAATTATATTTCATTATCTTAGCTAATTTCTCTAATTGAATGTTCTAATTTAGAATAAAAATTGACTGATTTTTGTGCATTGATGCATATTTGAGCATGCAGCATATTTAAGCATGTTTGATGCATGTACTTAAACTTGATGGCTTACCTGACAGTGAAGACAGATTATAAGACAGGAAGTGTTATAGAATCTTAGATTTGGTTCTCAGTGAAATTTTACCTTTTGGAATGAGAAGTGAAGAAAGAGAAAAACATATTCATATGATGAAGGAGAAAGGCACATGTATGTACTCTTTGAATATACCAAAAGATGCAACAGATCATCCTTCATTCTTTTCTATCCATCCACATACTTACGTTATTTATCTATGCCTGGATACAAGAAGGTGGAGTTAAAGTGCTCCCTCTTTTCTTGAATACCATTTTTTGATGAGGTCAAAGACCACAGAAACTTTACTGGAGAAATTCAATGATTTGAGCAGAACCTACACATAACTGATTCTGTTCCCAGAATATGTTGGTATAATTTACTCACCCATCTGCCTGTTGGTTTTTACTTTTTCATCCACAAATTAGAGCTACCACTGCTATTGAATCATTAAAATATAGTAGAATGTACCTTTGCTACTTACCTATTATAAAGAAATACAAAAAAAAATATCAAGAGGCAATTTTAGGACAAATTTTATGGGAAAAATCTTTTTAAGGTTTTATTTATTTTTAGAGAAGGGAAGGGAGGGAGAGAGAGAGGGAGCGAAACATCACTGTGTGGTTGCCTCTTGCATGCCACCTACTGGGGACCTGGCCTACAACCCAGGCATGTGCCCTGATTGGGAATCAAACCGGCAACCCTTTGGTTCAGAGGCTGACACTCAATCCACTGAGCCACACCAGCCATGGTGAAAAAAAATTTTTTGAATGCATTATTAATAGGAAGGGGTAAAGAACCACTATGATTTAATAGAAAGAATGTAGTTGATCCAGGATTCTAATTCTCTTAGTTCCATTAGGAAATTGTGTGACTTTGGGCAAATTACCATCTTTATGGATTTCAGTTTTGTCATTATTAAAGCAGATATTGAAATAGATGATTATTCAAATCACTTTAAAAAGTATTTGCATATTAAAGAATTACTTGTGAGCTCTACTTAACCCTACAATGTTCTGATCATTTAAAAGTTCTTCAGGAGAGAATACCGTGGGTACCGCCTGAATGCATTGAAAATCCTAAAAGTTTAAACTTGGCAACAGACAAGTGGAGTTTTGGTACCACTTTGTGGGAAATCTGCAGTGGAGGAGATAAGCCTCTGAATGCTTTGGATTCTCAGAGAGTAAGTTTTTATAGACTGAAATTGGATTAATTCTGTGATCCTTGATGTTTCACATGATTTTATATGTTTTTAGCCCATCTGATGTTAAAAAGGTTGATAAGGCATTCTGCAATTTATTCTCAATGTATGGTTCTTTAATTATAGAAGCTACAGTTTTATGAAGATAGACACCAGCTTCCTGCACCAAAATGGACAGAGTTAGCAAATCTTATTAATAATTGTATGGATTATGAACCAGATTTTAGACCTTCCTTCAGAGCCATCATACGAGATCTAAACAGTTTGTTTACTCCTGGTATGTATTGATGGAACAGCCTTACTGATTCTCCAGGTATCTTTCTATTTTTATTGTATTTAACAGATCTTTAGTAATTTTATAATCCCTTCCAGTAAGTTCTTTAATGTCTTTACCACTTCTTAACTTCTTATGGTTGTATGACTTTTCCTACTTTACACATTTTCTAGTCTCTGTGATTGATCAGTCTTTCCACTTTTAAAAGCTTTTTCTCCTTCAGTTACCCAGTATTAGTCTTCCACTTGATGAGTAGTGTACTTGATGAGTAGTGATGAGTAGTGATAAGACAAAAGTATATTTGTCTTATTTGAGTTTTTAAAAACAATTCCTTTTTTTAAACCAGTATTTATATGTTTTATAATATATTTTCTAAACATAAGTAGATTTGTTTTTGTTTGTCCTCTGCTTTAAATATGTATGTGTCTGACCCACAGGTATTTCCTGTTTCAATACCAGTCACTATTTTCACAGGAAATGTCAGGATATATTCTTACTTTATAAATATTAAAACTCCCTATCTTGTAGTCATTTATCCTTTGTAAAAATCTTTCTTGAAAGCCTGTCAGATTATGGGTAATAATTAAAGGCTCCCATTAATATAATCTAAACTATTAGAGTTACCCTATATTAGTTTATATTTAGTATTTCTAACTCATAATTATTTTGGTCAGCTTGAATACACATCATTTTAACCCAGAGAATGTATTTCCCAGCTTCTGGTGCTAATATACTTTATTTTGGCAGATTATGAACTATTAACAGAGAATGACATGTTACCAAATATGAGGATAGGTGCCCTAGGGTTTTCTGGTGCTTTTGAAGACCGAGACCCTACTCAGTTTGAAGAGAGACACTTGAAATTTCTGCAGCAGCTTGGCAAGGTAAGGTGACAGAAGTTTTAAAATATAGTATAATCATAGAACATTTTATTTAGAAAAAAAAATCTTTAGAGATTCTCTGAAGTTCATATTTCACAAATTTTTAAGTAAGGAGTATTTGTAGAACAAAGATGTAGTTGTCAGGAGTTCTGAGGACTTCTCAGACCCTTTAATGTGTAATGTGCATTGAGTATCTTCAAGAGGTTGATAAATTAGTCAGTATTTCCCTGGTTGATTTGACCATGGAACTCTTTCTTGGTAGAGGGCATTTTATTTACAAAATAGAGAAAGGAATAATTGAATTAAGCCTTTCTACTCACTTCCTTTTGTAGTCATCTCAGGGAAAAGGACTGTCATCAGAGTCTACTTGTTGACTGTGTTCACTAGCAGACAGTTTCTTTCTGCTAAAAGGTGACATAGTCATGCTTAGTCTACATATTTAAGACAAGTAAAAGCTCAGTTCTTAGCAGGTCCAATCATAGTGGTAAGCTCTTTTTTTTCCTAAGTTTGCTAGTATAGGGTTCTGTACCATGTGACCTTATGAGCTGGATTTTGGTACAAACATATTATGAAGGCTTCTCTTAGGCCTTGTTTCTAACATAAATGTTCTGATCCCTCTTTACCAGAGTTAAACACTGGGAATTATATTGGGCGTTGATTTAGCTATTTAATACTTTGCTGCTGTTCTGTATTTGTAAACATTCTCAAGAATGTTTCAAGTGATGTAGCAATGGCAAAAAAAAAAAAAGAAGAAGAAGTCTATTGTTGTGTAACAAGTTACCCTAGAACCTAACAGCTGAAAACAGCTTTTATTATCAGCTAGCTTAGGTGAGTCATGATGCTGGTGTCAACTTAGTGGACGTCAGCCAGATCTGGCAGTCTCAGCTGAAGGCTTGACAAGGGGAAGATCCATTCTCAAGCTCACTCATGTGGCTGTTGCCAGGCTTCAGAATGTCTGCTTTAAGCTCAGTACATGGGCCTCTCTGTAGGATTGCCTCACAGCATGGCAGCTGAGAGCAAACACCTGCAGTGGAAACCATGGCCATTTTATAACCTAATCTCATAAGGGACATCTCGCCCCTTGCTATGTGGCCTCTGTAATTAGAGATTTAACTTTGAGGTTATATATGGTCTAAGTTTTTTTTAATTGACTTCAAATATATAACTGAAAATATAATCACTTAGAATCTTATAGCGCAAGGGCTGTGTTGTTTTATTCTTTAAGAAGGCAATAGTATCCAAAATATGCTAATTAGATTAATGCCCTAAAGTTAATTTTTAATGTTATATATCAACTTATCTTTAACAACTTGCCAAAAAAAATCCCCATAGGTTAAAAATTTACTTTTTTGAGCAAATCAGACTTGGTATTAGTCTGCTCAGGCTGCCATAACAAAATACCATAACCTTGGTGCCTTAAATATCAGATATTTATTTCTGATAGTTCTGGAGGCTAGAAAGTCCAACATCAAGGTTCTGGCAGGATTTGGTTGCTGGTATGTCTCTCTTCTTGTGCCCTCATATGACAGAGAGCTCTGGTGTCCCTTCCTCTTATAAAGACACCAGCCCTGTGAGAGTAAGACCTCTCCCTTATGACCTCATTCATCCCTTATCATTTCTTCACAGGCCATACACTCATATTGGGGGTTAAGGCTCTATGATGAATTATAGGGGGACATACACATTCAGTCATAATAGACCCTTACTCCATCCAGTGCACTGACAGCAAATATCAAAGGGTATATTGGGAAGAAGCAAAGTTCTTTCTGGAAGTTAGTAATAGAAATTTAGGAATTCCCTGGCATGTCCCTTGCCAGGGATAATATTCATAATTTATGTTTAAATGCTTTCTTGAAGTTGTTTATAATTCTTTTTGAAGAAATTAAGTATGTAGGTTTACTACCCACCTGCTGAAACACTATTTCCTTTTTTTATTCTGAAAGTTGCCTAATGTAAGCTTAGAGATGTCTGTTAGTTTTAGTTGTTGGAATTGCTTATGTAATTACCATAGAATTTGTTAGTATTTGTGTAAAAAACTTGAGATTTCTATCCTTACATGCTGCGTTGTTTAGGGTAATTTTGGGAGTGTGGAGATGTGCCGGTATGACCCTCTACAGGACAACACTGGGGAGGTGGTGGCTGTGAAGAAGCTTCAGCACAGTACTGAAGAGCACCTCAGGGACTTTGAAAGGGAAATTGAAATCCTTAAATCCCTGCAACATGACAACATTGTAAAGTACAAGGGAGTGTGCTACAGTGCTGGTATGTTGCCCACTGAAACCTATTTTGAACTCAAGATATGTCATTGGCATCCTGAGTAATTAAAACATATACTGTCTTAAGATCTGGACTTATAATATACTAGTGACCAGAGAGAAGACTAGAGGTGCTGCTTGGTGATGGTGCACTGTAACTACAGGAGATCTTTGACTAGTTGGTTAATCATTCTCTTCACTGAGGATAGTGGTTATCACTCTTTCTTAAGCTTATCAAGTGAATATCATTTTTAAAGAAAGAAATTGCCTTTGATCACATTTTCTTTAAAAATATTTTAAAAACTAGATGCTTTTTGTTTAATACAAGATGAGAAAAGTTTTCTCAGCTTATTTTGGTTTGCATAAAGGATTACAGAAGATCAAAATATAACTATTTTTGAAGCTTTTTAAAACTTTTTGATTCAAAAGCCTGTGTTCTTTATTTTATCACCTATAATTTGTAATAAAATTTTGTCATCTTAGACTCAGGTTTTATATATCTTTAAGTCATTTATGTATGGTTGTTTTTAAATATTTTATCAGTAAAATATGACAAAGTAAAATTATGTTCTCATTTGTATTTTAAAAGGCCGGCGTAATTTAAGATTAATTATGGAATATTTACCATATGGAAGTTTACGTGACTATCTCCAGAAGCATAAAGAACGGATAGATCATAAAAAACTTCTGCAGTACACATTTCAAATATGCAAGGTACCTAATATTCTGGCTATTTGTTGTAGATGAGGAGAGCATGTTGAACTAATTGTTAAGAAATTCTCCAGTTTTTCTTAGATAATTAAGGGTATATATATATATAGGCAAGACCATTTAAATTATTTATGTTTACAAAACCAGCTAAAGAAGAATGATATTTTATCCATAGGGTATGGAGTATCTTGGTACAAAAAGGTATATCCACAGGGATCTGGCAACAAGGAACATATTGGTGGAGAATGAAAACAGAGTTAAAATTGGAGATTTTGGATTAACCAAAGTCTTGCCACAAGACAAAGAATACTACAAAGTGAAAGAACCTGGTGAAAGTCCCATATTCTGGTGAGTATATTTTAGTACAATATAAAATGAAATTTTAGAGCACAAACTTCAAACTTTATTTTTACTATTATTAATAGTCTGTCAATAGCAAAAATTTATCATATGGTTGCATTAGGTTTAAATGCATTTAATGGATTATCTCATTTAATCCTTACAACCACCTTTGGAAAATATGTATTATTATCTCATTTTAATCATAAGGGACCTGAATTGTAGATAGGGGAAATAGCTTTCTCAAGGTCAAGGTTTTTTATATTACATATACCAAGTGAAATCATAGGGTATTGGTCCTTCTCTGTCTGACTTACTTCACTTAGCATGATACCTTAGAAGTGTTGGGTGTTTCTAGGGAGATGGGTGAAAAAGGTGGAAGGGAATAGGCCGTACAAACTTCCAGTTATAAAATAAGTCAGTCACTGGGATGTAATGTGCAGCATAAGAAATATAGTCAGAAGTATTACAGTGACTTTGTATAGTGACAGATGGTTAACTAGATTTATCACAGTGATTTCCTCGTAAGGTATGTAAATGTTGAATAACTATGTTGTACACTTGAAACCCATGTTATATGTCAACTATATTTAAGTGAAAAGAAAAGAAGTAAAGTAGTAGTTAATTTTTTAAAAAAAATTTTACTGGTAGATCAGAGGAAGGGCATTCCATAAGAAGAACAAGAACAAGAGGGTCAGGGGCTTGCAAGTGAGGACATAATTACAGAATGAACAAGGAGTAATTGGGACTAGAATGGTATTGATCTCTGTATATTGTGTTAATTAGTTCAGACTTTATTTAATAGAAAGTGTGTAGGTGAGATATTAGAGGCGTTCTCCAGGAGCATAGTGTGGTGGGACTCAGAATTTAGGAATGTAAATCTAAATCTTTTTTGTTCTCCTCTTCTACTTTTGGTGGAGAACAGCAGTTCTCAAAGTGTCAGGACCTCTGATACTCTCTCAGGGAGTCCGTGTTATCAGAAGTTATTTTCATAATAATACTAAGATGTTATTTGCCTTTTTTACTTCAATTTTTTCCATGATTAGATAGTGGAATTTTTCATAGGCTATAATTTTATGGTCTCCTATTAAACCAAACATTGAAGAAACTTAAATGTAAAACAGTGCTACTCTTCTCACAAAACTATTCTAGTTTGCAAAATAGTTATTTTTCATAAAATTTATTTGTTAACATGTACTGGATTTATTGTTATTTTCAGTGAATTAATAAGTACTTTAACGTTTCCTTAGTTTTACTGTATAACATGGTAAATATTGATAGAAATAACCCTCACAAACAAAAACTTTTTTGGGAACTTCAATAATTTTTAAGAGCATTTAGGGGGTCTTTAACTAATGTTTGAGAACTGCTGGTGTAGAGGGTGTGTTGCATTAAGGAGAGTCTAACAGCAGGGAGAGGCTAACTAGGCAACTTTTGCAGGAATCTAGGCCATTAGTTTTTAAACCCTTTTGTGTATATATCCACTGAAAATTATAAAAACTGTGTATTGTCTCACACATTTTCAAATTGATAGCTGAAGTTGTTCTTCATAAATTTAAATAGTTGTAAATAATATGTTTTCTAAAGTATTGTATCCAATGAAATCTAAATACAGCAATTTGATACCTATTGTCACCCAGTTAAATTTGGTATAGGAACAGACATTTTATTTTTGATAAAAATTTTATATCATTCTGTTTCTCTTCTCCCTTAAAAGATTTCATTTATTTATTTTTAATGACAGGGGAGGGAGAAAGAGAGGAAGAGAAACATCAATATGTGGTTGCCTCTTGTGCAGCCACCACTGGGGACCTGGCCCACAAACCAGGCATGTGCCTCAACTGGGAATCGAACCAGTGATCCTTTGGTTCGCAGGCTAACACTCAGTCCACTGAGCCACACCAGCCTGGTCTTTTTTCTCTTCAAAATTATATTCAAATTATATTTCTACTTTCCTTCTCACCCCGAAGTTTGCATAATGTATTATATTTATACTTGGAAAATCCTTCGATTACCTATCTCATTTATAACCAAAATATGTATATAAATTGTAATTAATTTTTAAATTTCCTCTGACCACAAAACTCATAAGTTTTTACATTTTTATTCTGGATTGAGTCATCATTGAAGTTATTAGGATATAATTTTGTAAAGCAGTGTAAATAAATTACACATTTGGATAATTGTTTAAAAATTTTTGTTGGAGACTTTCTTAATGAGATAAATGGAGTTTCCCCTTTGATGAGTTCATATATTCTTGATGAATACTTTTTATTTCTATATTGGGACCAATTCAGCATAAATTCTTTATTTTTGCATCTTCATACATATAAACACTGAGAAAACTACTTTGTGTAAATAGGTAGGAATGGAAGGTAGGATACTGTTTGTTATAATAGTATCATTTATTTCTATGACTCCTGAGATATGTAGTAAAAATGTATATAGTAATCTTCCATTAAAACTTATCTATTAGCGGGCAATATGATTAGATCTATTTTCATTGTTCTTAAAGCAAATAATTAAAGCCACTTGCTTTTCTAATGACCCAGTCATGAGAGTCATTCATTTTCTCCATCTCTGAGAAGCAGTATACCAAAATAGTTTTTCAAATTAATTTAAATTGTGGTGTTACTCTCATTTAGAGGCATCTTGTTTAAAATGATACATTCAGAAAAGGTTGCAAAAACAGAATATTTTAAATTTCAATATAGCATTTTTTTTATATTTTTTTTTAGGTAGGAAGGGAAGGAAAAAGAGAGAGAGAAAGAAGCATCAATGTGTGGTTGCCTCTCGCACACTCCCTACTGAGGCCCTAGCAGGCAACTCAGACATGTGCTCTGACTGGGAATTGAACCAGTGACCCTTTGGTTAGCAGGCTGGCGCTCAATCCACTGAGCTACACCAGCCAGGGCAATGTAGCGCTTTTTAATAACACTTTGTATCACATTTAAATATATTATTTAAATATGACAAGTCTTTGTGCTGCCTCAAAGGTTGAGTCAGTTTATGAAGAATATTTTTTATATTACCCATTTGGCAATGCCTGACCTCATAAACAGATTACACTTAACTTCCAACAGAAAAATCTGACTTCAATTTTCAACTTAAGCACTTATAGTAATATTATGAAATATTATTTTTTTAAAGATTTTATTTATTTATTTTTAGGAAGGAAAGGGAGGGAGAAAGAGAGAGAGAGAGAAACATCAATGTGCGGTTGCTGGGGGCCGTGGCCTCCAACCCAGGCATGTGCCCTGACTGGGAATCGAACCTGCGACACTGGTTCGCAGCCCGAGCTCAATCCACTGAGCTACACCAGCCAGGGCTGAAATATTATTTTTAAAAAAACCAGAATAAATTGCAGAACACATGTGCAGAGGCATGTTTATAATGAAGCTAACAAAGCATATTTCCCAGAGCTCCTTCCTTCCAAGATTTCTTCTTTTCTAGTTTTAAATATTCACTTTTATACCTAATTTTGTATCTTTTGTCATAATGAAAACCACTCAAATTATGTAAACTTTGGGCCCTGTATTTCTCCTTGCGTAGCTGGAAAACTAAATCACTAAGACAGTCAAGGTAAGCTTAAAATGATGTACTATATCTAGTATCATTAAGTTCATATTAAGTGGTGAAAATAAGACATAATGTCTCATTTAATTTACAATAAATAATACAGAATAAAATGTAGCTAAGACTGTAATTTATGAAGTAAGGTATATTCCTTCAGTAAATGTGTTGGGGAGATATGTATCAAATGCTGCTTTTGATTTTGGGGAATCATTAAATAAGCTTGAATAAAAATCATAAATAACATCATTTTCATCATGACCAAAATTTTCCTATGTGTTTTATGAAAAAGATGGCTGCTGTAAGCTGCTAAAAACTAACCAGATTGGCAATTGACATATAGTTTTATATTAACAAGTAAAAACATTAAGTGTTTTATAAAATGAAGTGAGGTTCACTACATTTTATATAAATATTTCAGAATATGAGTTAATAAAATAGCCAACTTACTGAATAGTGAACACTAACTCTGGTCTGAAAGAAATCAGTTGTAATTTTTATCCATAGGATTTAGGCATCAGATCTTTATAAAAATTATAATTTCACTTAAAAGAACGTATCATCTATATTGCTTTTGTTGTTCAAAAGTGCTTTTAAGCTAGTAGCACAATCCATCATGTCCTAGGGGTTGGTAGTAAGAAGAAATGAGGGAAAAATGCTTCTGTTGAAATATTTTTTAAAATTGTTGAAGCAGCGTTTTGTACTCATGGAGGACCGTTATCCTGTTCTCGCTAATAGGTCCCCTTGGAAAATCCTCTGTCCCTGGGATTGCTCTTCATTGGGTTTGAAGACCTCCGTACTAGTTGAGTACAGGATCTCACCTAATATCCTTCTAGTGATATCAACATAGGAGACTGATTTGAGATCTTTCTAAGACATGCTTTAGAGGGACTTGGTGGCTCATTAGACTTTGGAATGAAAAACAAGTCAAAATAATTGACAAGATTTCAAGCTGGGACAGTTACACAGATTGTGATGCAATTCTTTGTATCGCGAAAGTAAAATAGTCAGTAGCTTTTGGAAAGGTGGGGATGGAATTCTGTTTGCCTATAGAACATTAATATGTAAATATTCAGTAAGTCTGGAGTACAAAAGAAAGGTCAAAGATGTTATAAATTTAGGAGACTTCAGGATTTAGGTGGATGATACTACCTAAAGGAAAGCTTTTGACGGAGAGGAAGAGATCTGTTGCCAGTGTTGGGGAAAGCTAGGCTTAGAGGATGGAGGATAAAAGGGAACGTGTTGGGGAAGGGTAATTTACAACTAAATCTCTCAACCCATAACCTCATCAAAAAGATAGAAGAGAAAGACATCTGTTTTATTACTGAATGAGCATTAATCCAGAAATTAATGTGCATTAAAAGAAATCTACTTATAGATTGCAAAGAGAGAAAGAAATCTTACTCTTTTTTATGGCCAAGCAGATTCAACCCATTCATTACATAAATGTTCCCAAGATAAACAATAAGTAGTTTTCAAGTGAGAGGACTTGACATCAGCATTTGTTGCACACAGTTCCCCTAAATTCACTGGGTAATTAAAATCACCATCTGTGTTAACTAATTGGCTTTGCCAAAAGGAAAATGAACTCATGTCTTTATGACAAGAGATAATTTTGTGACTAGGAAGGGGCATCTGCTGAAGTTAGGTTCCTACACTCACAGAAACTGGGAGATAGGGGTGCTAACTTCCTTGATGATTACCTTCCAGAGAGATGGTTCCCAGGTTCTTGAGAAAGACATTTATTTAGGTAATACAACGCTAGCAAGAGACTTTTTGCTTAAAGCAAAAGCTTTAAAAAAATGTACCTACATCTGAAAGAGACAAAGAATTTACAATGGTAAGTATTTTAAAGTAAATAAATGCTTTCATAAAAGAGGAGGAAGAGTCATTTCCCTCATTTTCAATAGGGAGGACTGTATTTTTTTCTTTTTTGATTTGTATTTATATAAGTAATGAAAGAGAGAAAAAGCAACCTTGGAGATGATGAGCAGGGGAAGCTACAGAATGCTTTCATGAAAACCAAAAGATGAGAGTATTTTGCGGTGGTTAGGGGAGTAGCATTGTTTTCAGGAAGATTATGTTCCATTTGTGGGAGAAAGCTAGCATTCATTTAAAATATCATAACTAAATATGTAAAGTGCTTTTAAAAACAATATAAGATTAACATAGCATTACATGGTTAATTGTGTGGTATGGACTACAAGTTTTACAGAAATTCAATAATATTTGATCATTAAGACCTTGAATAGTCAGATAAGGATTCTTGGGAATACATTTTAAAGAAGAGATTAAATTTTTATAATTCATTTTTTTCATGTTGTAATTCATATTTTAATCTTATCAGTCTTAAACAGGTCCTTGTCAGCATCTTCCATAATGAGGATAAACTTAGCAATGTAACCAAGATATTCACAGTCCATTAGCCAAAAATGTTCCCTTGGTTAGAGTTGATGCTTGAGGAGTCAGTGGCACCATTCCTCCCTATGATTTCTAATATTTTCTGGGCTCCCTCACATAATCATTCTCCTGGGATAAACAGGTTCTTTCTTTTATATGTTAATAGCTTCAAGTCTTGCTCTAGTTTAGAAGCCATTTCTTTTCTTTCTGGAATACTATCTGTATTCATTTAAAGCTTAACTTGCAAAGAACAGCTTATTTTTCAGGGTTTTTGTTTTAAAAGATTTTGTTTATTTATTTTTAGAGAGAAGGGAAGGGAGGGAGAAAGAGAAGGAGAGAAACATCAGTGTGTGTTCACCTCTTGCACACCCCCTACTGTGGACATGGCCCGCAACCCTGGTATGTGCCCTGACTGGGAATCGAACCGGTGACCCTTTGGTTCGAAGCCCAGCACTCAATCCATTGAGCCACACCAACCAGGGCATTATTTTTTAGTTTTTAGAACATACTTGGCAGTTAACTCTGGTGTTTCCTGTAGAGACAGAAATGACCTTTTTTGGTTTTTAGTTATTTTTGTGTGTTGGAGGTTCCCAAGGCCACCCTCAGGTTTGAATCTCACTAGGAGGATTCATAGCACTCATCATTAAGTCATATTCATAGCTATGATTCCTTGCAGGGAAAGGATACAAAGCAAAATCAGCAAAGGGAAAAGGAGTCTGGGGCATAGCTAGAGGAAACCAAGCACAATCTTCCAAGGGTCCTTTCCCAGTAAAGTCGTTTGGGGCACACTTAATTTCCCCAGCAGTAAATTGTAACAACACATATCAAATGTTGTCTACCAAGTAAGCTCATTAGAAACTCAGTGCCCAAGGCCTTTGTTGGGATTGGACATGTATGTACCAAAATTCCAGACTCCTAGAAGGAAAGCAGGTGTTCAGCACAAACCATATTGTTTGCAGAAACATTTTAGACACAGTGAGCCACTGTTATCATTTAGAGAATTGTGGAAACCCTCCTGAAATCTAAGCTCCATGTACCAGTCAGGTGTCAACACTGCAAGCAGGACTTTTGGAGGATGGCAACCTCAAACCTGCTGTGTTAACTCTTTCCTGTACACTTTGCTTTTCCTTTAATCTAGTGGTTTGCAGGTAGAATCAAGAGTTGGCACATCAAGAAACCATCTTTTAAATGCTTTTCCTATATATCACAGGTATGCTCCAGAATCACTGACAGAGAGCAAGTTTTCTGTGGCCTCAGATGTTTGGAGCTTTGGAGTGGTTCTGTATGAACTTTTCACATACATTGAGAAGAGTAAAAGTCCACCAGCGGTCAGTGTGTTTTTTATTTACTTTCAACTTTTTTTCTGACATAAGGAAAGCTTTTTCCAAACAATAATAGTAAGCTTAAGGCTCATTTTAGGACCTCTTACTGCTTATTTGTAAGACAGCATCCAATAAAACAACCCTAAACTTATTCATTAAATAAACTTGAATTTTCAAAATGGGCGGGTAGAGTACTATCTACTGTATTCTTTTAATATTATCCTCAGTGAATCCAATAAACTCATTCAATGTAGGAGTGATTGCAAAAGTTGAAATAAACCTTTTACAGTAATTTTTTTCCTAATCATTGTGGAATTTTTTTAATATAAAAAAGCATGAAAAAAATCATATCTAATTCAACTACTCAGTGATAACTACTTTAATATTGTGGTATGTTTTCTTCCAGGCTTGTTTTCATTTTATATGTAGCAGTTAAATTTTATTAAAATATTACTTTTGTAAAATAAAGGTTATGACACTATACAGCTTGCTATCCTGCTTTTTCGTTAAGTATTAGAGCATGAATATTTTCCTGTGTGGATAAATATTTCCTGCAAATATGGCTTCTATCTTCTGTATAGCATTTCATAGTAAGGATATAATATCTAAACAATTATTTTCCATTTTTCAGTCTTTTAAATAACACCTCAAGGAACATCGTGAATAAGTATATATAAATATTTATTTATCTCTGATTGTCACCTTAGAATGAAAGTATAATGATAGATGAAAGGTAATGAACTCCTTGAAAAGTTTTTGATTATTTCCAAATGCATTCTAGAAAAGCTGTACCAGGTTATACTGTCAATAGCAGTGCACAGGGTATATACATTTCATCATTTGGTAGTATTGACCATTATGTTCTTAGGCAGTTTTGCCAAATGATAGGAGAGAAGTTGCATCTATTTGATTTTAATTTATGTTTCTTCTATTAGTGTGCCTGAATACATATTCTTTGGGTATTCAGAATGAGTGTATGTGTGTGTGTGCATTGTCTCCCTATGTGCTTTGCCCAATATTATATTTATGGTTTTTCTTACCAGTTTATAAGAGCTCTTTATATTTCAATTAATGATGTGTTTTGAATATTTTTCTAGTTTTACAGTTCAGACTTTTATGAATTCTTAACATATGAACATTTTTTCTTTGTATGCATTTAGGCTTAAACATTCATTCTGCACTTTCTTTTTATTATGTCCTCTTTTACCTTCAAGTTTTTATTTCAGCTGAAATGTAATAGGACAGGTTAAAACAATAATAACCAAAAAAATGTGAATATGTTTTTAGTTCACTTGTTTTGGGTCCTTCTTAGGGAATTTGTGTTGAATATATTACAGTTATGGAAATGGCATTATAGAAGTTCCACATTTAACAGTCTTTTCTGAACTATTACTGAAAAGGAAGTTTTTAATCATTAAAAATAGTCTACTTTTAAAAGGTTTCAAATGTATAAGGTAACATACATATGCAGAATTTTTCCAATTCACTGGAAGAAGTTGAGAAAATTCTGCTTCAAATTAAGTGTACCCCAAAAAATCTCATTAAAAGTGGGTTTGTGTTTCAGGAATTCATGCGTATGATTGGCAATGACAAACAAGGACAGATGATTGTGTTTCATTTGATAGAGCTCTTGAAGAATAATGGAAGGTTACCTAGACCAGATGGATGCCCGGATGAGGTAACAAAAAAATTTTTTTATTCATAGGAGTCATGCAGTTGTCTTTTCTTTTAAAACAAGGACTTCAGGTCACTTTATGAAATTTAACTGATGGATTCTTAGATAAGTAGCATAAATCATAAATCACATGACTGTGGATCTAGACATAGCCATGAAGTCCACCTGTATGGGAGAATAAAATGGGAGTTCTGAATTCATGTCTTCTGCCAATTAAAAGGGAGGTCTTTGTGCTCATTGTTATTTTGGTTTATTTTCTCTTTTATAGATTTATGTGATCATGACAGAATGCTGGAACAATAATGTAAATCAACGCCCCTCTTTTAGACACCTCGCTCTTCGAGTTGATCAAATAAGGGACAATATGGCTGGATGAAAGCAATGAACTTCAGACTCTGAGACCAAAATAAAGTTAGAGAACAAAGTTTTGTATTTCACATTGCTGTGGACTATTACTGTATACATCATTGTTTTGTGTATCATGATGCTAACCACAAAGATGTAGAAATACCTGCTCAAAACTTTAAAGTTCAGTGAATATTTCTTTATGAAGATACCAGTAAAAGAAATTGATGAAAAGTCCTTAGCAAAGAATTTTATAAAAAGTTTCATGAACCTAATCAGTCAATTAATATCACCTTTTTTGGCAAAAGAAAAAACAAACATTTTTTAACTTAGAATTTTGAGAGATGAAAAAGTTGTAATATAAATTTTGCAGTGTTAAAGATGCACAGAATATATATGTACAGTTTTTACCACAGAGAATGTATAAATACCTTGGTATCTTGTGTGATGTTTTACAAAAGGACTGGTATTCATTAATGGTATTTTCTAATTTTTTCATAGTTGACCTATAACTTTACAAGCAAATTAAGATGCTCAGATCATTGAATAAGCACCTTTGTGTTCCTGTTCATCTGTATCACTGGCCAGAAATATAAGCAGTTGTACACTTTTTGCTTGTAGTTCTATGTACTGTAAATACTTTTTTGAAGAAAAGGGAACAAGTGTTTAGTTTTATTTGTATAGGAAATCTCCTAAAAAATACATTTTGAAATGAAACAAGTTTACAAAACTGTAACACAATCTATTTTCTTATTTGTCTCCCTGTATCTATTTGTGTATTTTTTTTTAATAGAACTATCTTTGAGCTTTTCCAAGACTATGGTGAATAGTTTTCTTTTAAAATCTTGAGGTTACAAATGCAGGAATATTGTCATCCTTTGAGCTGTTGGCTGCCAATAAGATTCTCCAATCCCTGGGATCTATGGCCATGCGTTAAATTTGAGTGTAAGCCATAAGAGACTTTGTTCTTAAATATATGAGCCTATTAAGGTGCATAGTATGGATTAGGAATTTTTTTCTAAAGACTATTTTAGGGATTTTAGAAGTCTCTATTGTAGTCACAGAAGAAATTTTCTTTTGTTAGAGATTCTTACAGCAAGGGAGAAGTGAGAATAAATTGGTGGAAAAATATGCTTGTTATTTTATTCAAGAACGCCAGTAGAAAATTCATAATATGCCATTAAGAAAAATGAAAGTGTACATATTTTCAGTGCAGCATAAAGGGTTGTTTATTGTCTTTGTCATTTGCATTAGTACTACTCCATTTTAGACACCATATCTAAGTTATGGCAGATTTGTCATGTTATTTATAGAGTTTAAAATACTGAGTATTTTGGTTAAAAAGAAAATAGTTTTTTATTTTAGTTTTGATCATATATGCTATTGTTTAACTTGTATTTAAGACTTTTGATTATTTTTTTAAAGATTTTATTTATTTATTTTTAGAGAGGGAAGGGAGGGAGGGAGGGGGAGAGAGAGAGAGAGAGGGAGGGAGGGAGGGAGGGAGGGAGAGAGACATCAATGTGTGGTTGCTGGGGGTCATGGCCTGCAACCCAGGCATGTGCCCTGACTGGGAGTCGAACCTGCGACACTTTCGCAGTTCGTGCTCAATCCACTGAGCTATGCCAGCCAGGGTGACTTTTGATTATTTTTTGGAGCTTGTATTTAAGACTTTCCATTATTTTTCTAACTTTTTTGAGCTAGTTTTAAAGTATAAATTATATAAGCAAAAGTGCTTTACATTTTTCAATATAAATGTTTTCAATGTCAAACATTGCTAAGGTTTGAGATTTTTTGGTTGGAAGAAAAGAGAAGAAATGCTTTTTACATTTTAAAACATTTTATTAGTTATCAACTTCCAAAATCATCTAAAATGATAGTGTATTAAATTTTAAAAGATTTCTACTAGCTATTTTGATGAAAGTTGAATATAATTTTTATTTAACTTGTAAAAATGCTGCAAGGATCTATAAATATAGTGTAATTAAAGATCTTCTATTTTGTTACTTTTCAAGTCAAAAGTAGTGTTGACAGGAGAGTCCCGGTTCTTCCTGTTGACGCATATAAAGAATTACATATTAGCAATTCTAGTAGTATGTAATCAGTTTATTAGTGGCCCATTCCCATGGAAGAGAACAGGACTGGGTAGAGTAGGGGGTGAAAGACAAAGTTTCAGGGCAAAGCAGTGTGAGAAAAGCAAGAGAGGCTGGAGACCAGGGTGGCAAGGCCCTGGGCAGCCTGAAGCTGGGTGGCCAGAGGCCCTGTGGCCCGAGAGCCAAGAGCCCTGGACAGAGAAGGAGAGAGAGCGAGGGAGGGAGAGAGAGAGAGAGAGAGAGAGTCAGTCTCCTTTGTTCTCAGGACTTATATAGTTGGTGGGATAGGAGGGAAAAAAGTTACATGTTGATTAACGGGTAAATGTGGTGCCAGCTTTCCTGGGGGAATGTGACTACCCAAACTTAGGGATGTGTGGGGCAGAGAGAGAGAGTCCTTATCTTGCTCCAGACCCCATTTGTTCATCTTGTTGTAAAACAAATACATGACAGGAGGCAGTTAATTAAAATTGGGGCACTTTCCAAAGTTATTCATGGGCTCTTTCTGTAAGCATCAGGGACTCCCTCCTAAAACAGACAGTGACTAGAGGTAGGCAATTAACCAAAGTTGTTTTATGGGCTCTTTCTTTAGGCTCCAGGGACCCTCGCCCACATTCAGGCCTTGGGATGAAAGCACAGTTTCAAGGCTTTCTTTCCTAGATAGTGGAAATGTTACATAGAATTTCAAGGACTGTCCTTCTTTCTTGCTAATATAGTGTTTCTTGTGATGTTGGAGCACCTGGCAATATTATCAGATCAGGCTCAGGACTGCTGAGTTAGCGTGTGAGACTTGTCTCCTTCCTCCTCCTGGCCTTGGTTTACTATTTATTCTTCCTAATTGGTAAAAAGCATTTCCTGGCAACCAGACTGCTAAATGCTGGCCAGTGACAGTATTACAGTCTCAGAGTTCTTCCTATGCTGTCTCCTGCTTCAGTAGCATATCATATGATGTGCTTGGTTTCAGATTTTTGTACTAAAACCTAAGTACTAAGAGGTAGAATTTTAAAGGTCTAAAACATTTGTTCTTAAAAACAAGAATATTAACTAGATTTCTTTAAAATATGTTTTTAATGTTTCAGTTTCAGTGAAAAATGTATAACGATCTTAAGTATTTAGAGTGGTACGACTACCTTATTGTAAGATTCTAAGTTTTCAAGAGAATTATTATTCATTAAGGGTTAGCATTGTTTTAAATTGTGATCCTGACTATTGTAGGAGACCGTTCTGTGTGGTGTGGGCCCAGTTCCCACTTGGAGATGCACAGGACCCATGCCCACGGATAGGTTCTCCAGTGGGGAATCGGGCCTGCAATGTGCCCAGGCCGCTCTGAGTCTTGCTTTTTGCTAAAAACTCCCTCACCCTGAATTGAGGACATTTACTGCAAAGTAACTTCCTAAAATCTATGCTAAACCTTCCAAGGATGAGTGTAACTGGTTCAACCACTTTTGCCTTTTCATTTGCAAATATCCCCCTTCTGTGATGTGATTAGCGGCATTAACTCCTTTGTTTTCTGCAAAAGGTAACCACCTAAAGCGAACCTGTGCATAAAAAATGAGGACCATCATGCAATGTGCAGAGAAATAAAAGCCTGTCTTGGTGGAGGCCGCAGCTTTTACTTCCCTTGAGAGAAAAGCCATGCTGTCCCTTTTCCTCCACTGGACTTGATAGTCCGTGTGAATGTCTCATTTCATCCATGATGACGTAGTCACTGCAGGCCGGTGTCTGCATCAGACTATCATAAAAGAGATTAAACCTGCAGCTGTCTAGTTGGTTCTGCACAAGAAACAGGTCATTATTGTACCTATTAGTACCAGCTGTTTCTTCAAATTAAAAGTGAAGGTAAAGATTTTCTTAGAATTCTATAGTTCTGTAAATATTCTGGTATATTAAGTTATACAATTTTTCTATAAATAATTTCTTATATCCATGGCTATCCATTTGTGAAATAGTTTTTTTTATGTTTATATATATGCTGTCAGTGGCACTATAATTCACTATGGAGGATTACTTTCTTACAACCCAAGACTTCTGCTATAAGTCAAGTGAATTTTTATCGTAACTATAATTTCTGATATTTCTATTTTATTTAAACAGTTTTATTCTAGAGTAGAAATTAGAAACTACCTACAGTTCTATACCTGCAGAGCCATTCTCCATGGGGTGGCATTATGTGGTCAGTTATTAAAACTGTGTTATTTTCTTCATTGTGCTTTTAGCATGTTCCCACAAAATTGAAATACATGTAATAAATATTCAGACGTTATATTCTTTTGTATTGTCACCTAACCAAGGAAGTGGGAGTGCACACACTGGTTTAGGGATGTGTAGAGAAAGCCTTTTATAATTGTAAACTTACCTTTAGATTTTTTTTAAAGAAATACTTCCTAAAATTGCTGTCAGCTACTGTGTGCTCTTTATGAACACTGCTATATCCACTCAAGTTCTGGAATCTTAATTATATCTAATGATATAATTAGATATATTCTCTAGTTTTACAGTATAAATTGCTAAAGATCTTTCACTTTGCTATATTAGAGTAAATTATAAGAGTAAATATAAGTCAGGAGGATTACCCAAACAAAAGACTAGATTATGAGATAAACTTCATTTTATTTAAGAAAAAAATAGAGTATGAATATCAAAATCTAAATCTAAATGTGCGTATACTCCAAGATTTGGGTTGGTTTTACTTAATTTCAAGGTAACTAGCTGCTAAGTGTTTGTTAATGCTGGCAGTAACATTGAAACATTTCAGAATGACATTGAGAGAATTAAAAAATTTTCACATTAATCAGATTTATATAATATGTATATCATATGGCCTTTACCTTTTCATATAAATCAAATTCTTAGTCAAATGTACATTATATACTTAAATATTAAAATATTTAATTTTTTAAATCTTACAAATGTATAAAGAAAAGCCTTATCTCCAATTGAAATACCAATCTTTATTAATATGGCTTTAAAAGTTGTTAATGATTCATTTTGCATATTGGTCT